ATAGATAGATAGATACATATTAACCCCAATAAAAGATAGTTTATTAATAATCAATTAAATTTATATACATGTGTATCTGTAAGCCAAAAATTACTAAGAGAAATAACTTAAAAATAACGTAAAATAATTAAACGATTAGGAATGGGTATCTTTAATTTCCTTGAGCCTTCTATATTTGCTGTAGATCACTTGTCAAATGTTTTTATTGTTTTAAGGAAACAAATCAAGAGAAAAAAATTGTTTAAAAAAAAACTTGTAAGTCGAAATGAGAAGACATCTCAGAAGGTATCACAGTAAATGTGAAAATTTACCTTATTTGCTCCAAACTGCACTCGGGCTTTGCCTTTGACTAAGGTGGCATTGATCTGCATGATGACCGACTCTATTGAGTAGGCACTACTCCAGCCCTAGGGGAAGAAGAAGACTTCTCTAGAACACACCGGTACTCCTGATTCCCACAAGGGGCAGTGTAACACACGGCACAGATCAACTTGCAAGTAATGGTAAGAAGTTTGTAGTGGCCAGGAAAAGGAAAGCTAGCTACAATTCCAAAATCTTGCAAAAAAAGATAATATAATAATAGTCACCATAAACTCTAACTAACCCAAGTATATTATAAACCTTAAACATTATTCTTTTTTTGAAAAGATAAACATCACTCTTAATACCTATCCTAGCATAAATCAATTTAAGCACTAAATAAAATGTCACTTTTGTTTAATAACTTTAAGGTTGGAAAATTAGTACTTAAGGAAAATAGTCACCTGTTTTGTGAGAAGTTCCATACATAGTGCGCCTCCACCCAGCACATACCTTAAAAAGGAACAACAAAACTGTTATCTAACTATTCCGTATTATTTTTGTGGTGATGACTACACAACTCTTTCCAATATACTTAAACCACTTAATTGTATCGTACATGAAGAGGTCAATAAAATGGTTAAAAATAAAATGTTATGGAGCACAAATTTCTACTCTTGACACATGTGGGGTCTGTTTCCATACATCAAACTGACTCCATGGCAGTTCGTCCACTGCTGCCATTGGCTGGGGATGTCCTTGGAAACTGCCTTAGCTCGGTATCCACAGCCAAGGAAAGACGAGAGCTCTGCTGGGGATCTCCAGCCTGCTCTGGCCAGCTCGCAGTTACATTTTTATCAGGTTGGCAGCGTAACGGGGTTGGGGGCACAGCACAGCTGCAGGTAGTAATTCAAGGTCTGACCAGATAGTGTACATTTCTTGCTAATCGGGCTGGCAGAGTTTGGAGACATCTCAGAAGAGTCAAGGTCTTGTGTGGAGGGCCGGGAGAGGGGAGAGGAGAAGGGGGCCTAACTGGGCACCATCTTCCCACATGTGTCCAACAAGGTCTCTTTTCTAAAAAGAATGTTGTGCTTCTGAAAATTTATCTGCCATCAAATTGTACAGTCAAGAAGTTTTTCTTTGACAATGGCACCGATTTTATTCGGTCCATAAAATGAACATCTGCATTGTATTTTATGGTTTAAATGGTTTTTGTCCAGTTTGCTGTGAGCATCAATGGTTTTGACCCTGGATCCCTTGTTAGGGGATCCCTCAATTTCTCTTTTTATGCCCAATGAGTCTTCTCTGGAGATTTCTCCCCTTAGGAAATCATTTAGATCAAAATTATTTTACCTTTTGGATCCTTTCTCTAACAATTCCTCTTTTAATGTTATTTTAAGCTTCAAAATCAGAAATAACACCTTCAAAAGAAAGGTGGTGGTGGTATCGGTAATCCTGAAAAGGGGGTGGTCACCAAGGTAAAATAGCATTCACAGTCCAGAGGCAATGCTAGACATCCTACTTCGACGAGTAGCGACTGGGGTCTGAAAAGCTCCCGAGCAGCCATCTCTCCCTGGCAGAGGAAAAAGGTGAAGGAAATAGAAGATGCATGGAAACAATGAGTCTACTGTTCTAATGGCCTCAGTGGCCCATCAGTCTCCACTAATGTTCCTGAAGAAGTAGATGGTATCCGGATACCACTACCAACTGCTCTGCAAGGTCCCGAATAAAGCAGGAGAAAACGTGAAACTAAACACGCAATCAAAAGAAATGGATAAGAAAGTACAAGAGACAACGCAAAGAACGGTGGAATGAGACTCTGTTTCATCCATTCTGGAGGTTGAACACTCACCTTCCTTTTTAACAAGGAAGCTGTGTCATCTGTGTATCAGACTGTTGATGAGCTTTAAATACACAGCTGCTGATTTTCACAGAGTTGGAAGCCTAGGTTCTCATTTACATTTTTGTTTCTCCAGGATCTATAGTCTAGTAATCTGTCAGTGGGTTAACCTCACAATTCTTCCTTATGCTTCAGCAATACTGAAGGCACGGCAGAGCTTGTTTTAGGAAAAACACCCCTGTATCCTAGGCAACAGAGTTACCCACTCTCCAACCAGCACCTTCCCCTTGAGCACCCCACTCTTCCTATGGCAGGAAGTGTGTAGGGACGTTTCTGTAGGCTGAAAAAGGTACATTTAAAGAAGTAGTCCATCCAATTCTACTTCTAGTGAATTCCATGTATTTCCTCCATGCTGCAGGTCAGTATGTGTTCCACACCCTGTTTCTCTTTGCCTTCAAAGAGCCAGACAATTCACGCACATTATAAAAATAAGCCGAAAGACCTCAGGGCCACCTAAGGGTAATTTTCACATACAAGGGCACAGTAATATTTGTAACTGAATGTAAAAAATAATCTTCATTTGCCAAAGCTATATGGTAAGCAGTATCCCTAAGTTTTGCCTGTTAGGTATTAAATTTATAATTATATTTTGTTACAAAATTGCTAGCTAAACTCCCAATGGGTTTACATTAAATTTATCCAACCGAATTTAGTCTTTCTCCAGCGTTCTGAAAGATGATCTAAAAGAAAACAACTTTATAATTTACGTGACTCTGATAAGGATCCTGGACCAGAGGCACTTAGCAGGTTAGCTGAGGTGCTGAGGTGACTCGGTGTGCTGGTCAGGCCGGGCAGCCCTGTTCTCTAACCCCTTGCGATCACTTAGTGAGACCCACGGATTTCAGGGGCATTGGGGCTGCAGTTTGCTCACATGATGTACTGAGACTCCTCCCAATAAAAGCTCTAGATACTGTAACTCCAAGGGTTTCCTGGTTGGTGTTGATGCACACGGGAGAGTAGCACATCCCCTGGCTCATGCAAACTCTCCAATGGGGACCACCCTCCCAGACCAAGGGTCCAGTGCATTTCTTTTTATACCGCTCCTGATTTGCATCCTTATTAAACATAAGCTTTAGTCATAGGACTAAAGACTAGGAGTTCAGTAAGTCGTTCAGTAAATCATCGAACCCAAAGGTTTCGTTGCAGCTAGCAGGTCAGAAATATAGGAGCCAAGGGAGGACCCAAGTTTTCAGTCAGCATCCGGTGAAGGAGAAGGAGCCCCCTGAAAACTTTTAGCCAGAAGATCAAAAGTGAAAGAGGGGCGTGGGGGTGGGGGCAGACCCAGAGACTTCCGGCTGATATCTAAGTCTTGGGCTGCAGTCTGATGGGCAGTGTCCTCTAACTTGTGAGGCTCGACCTAGCTCCAGGGCTTCCAACTGATTCAGTCTGGCTTGGCTCCCTGCTGAGAATTTATATTTCTACTTCCGAGAAAAGGCAAATTCTTAGCAGGGACCTGAACTGGAATAAACCAGTTCCAAGCAGCACCTACCTCTGGGTAGTTAGAATAAGAGAAAGAAACGCTGCAAGGGCACCTGGTGTCAGAACAAAACAAAGAAGTGAAAAAGTGGGGATTTGACTTCCACACTCTCCCACCCACAAACTAGAACGATACATTAATTTCAGGGTGATGGGCTGAATGTGGAAAATGGTGGAGATGATGATGCCAAGACAACTGATGAAATTAGAGATGACTAGAGAGGCCCTGACTCTGCTTCGGTTCTCCCACGTACAGAGCTCCAGGTGACTTTGCAGACAGCAGAAAACAGCTGAACACAGACACAGAAAGACAAGTACAGTTTTAAGATATAAACCTTATAGCCAGTGGCACAGAAACTTAATAGTCATGCCTTTTCAACAAATGGTCCTGGAACAATTGGACATCTACAGGCAAAATAAAATGAACTTAGATATAATAGGGTTGGATGCATCAATATTATTTCATGATAAAAAGAAATAAGCTGTCTACGGCCATACCACCCTGAACGCGCCCGATCTCGTCTGATCTCGGAAGAAATAAGCTAAAAACAACAAAACAGCAGGAAAAACACTTTAAATGCATATGGCTGAAAGAAACCAGTCTGAAAAGGGTATATACTGTCTGATTCCAATCATATGATATTCTGGAAAAGGCAAAAAATAAAAGTAAAAAGACTAGAGGTTGCCAGGGGGTGGGAAAGAGGGGAGGAGGGATAAACACAGGGGATTCGTGGAGCAGTGTAGCTGGTCTGTATCAATGTAATGACAGAAACATTGGCTTCACATATTTACCGAAACACAGGCGGCTGTACAACACAGAATGAACTCTAGTATAAACTAAGGACTTTGCTGTGTATAATGTGTAAGTGTCAATTGTAATAGATATATCACACAAGTGTAAGTCAATAAGAAAAGATGTACTAATAGCTCTGTGTGGGCTGGGCTGGGGGTATTTACATGTGGGCTCTCTGTACTTTCTGTACAATTCCTCTATAAACCTAAAATAGCTCTTTAAAAAAACCTATTAATTTTTAAAAATTAACTATAAATATCAATCCAATTAGAAAACAGGTAAATGAAATGAAGAGCCATTTCCCAAAAAAGATTATAAAGTTCCAAAGAAGCCCACTAAAATATTCAAGAGGTAGAACATATCAGGGAGGTACAAGGTAAAACCACAGTGAGGAATCACTACAATCCTGGCAGAATGGCTAAAAGAAAAACAAGCTGCATCCCTACACTGGATCACTCAGCCATGGACGATGGTAATGCCACTCTGGAAACAGTTCAGCAATGTCTAGAATAATAATAATAATAATGTGATTACCATATGATCCACAATTACAGCCATTGGGCATTTATCCCAATGAAAACACATCTACACGAAAACCTCTGCAGAGATGTTCGTGGCAGCTTTTAGGGTCATTCAAGCAGACTGGGGAACATACACACCACGAACACCACGCGGCAACAAAAAGGAGCTAACTATAGTGATATACAACCACTTGGCTGAATCTCCATGGGAACGAGAATGAGTGAAGCAAAGTCCACTCCTAAAGGTCACAACCCTAAAAGGCACGTTTTCATTTATGGGCAAATCAGTGACAGCCGGGGTCAGGGCAAGAGAGAACTACAAAGAAGAGGAGATGGTTTAAAAAAGCAATCCTGAAGTACTTCAACTGCTCACTAGTATCTTTGCTATAGCATATACTTAAGAGTGTGGGCTGGCAACACACACACACAGACCCATGGATACGGGTAAAGCTAAGGAAATCTGAGTAAGATCTGTGGAGTATTTCAATGTCAATATTCTGGTTGTGATATTAGACCCTTGTGTTACCACTGGAGAAACTGGGCAAAGTGTACAAGGAATCTGTTATTTCTTAAACTGCACAGGGACCTACAATTATCTCAATAAAACTTTCGATTATAAAATATCAACAGTGGAATTAATGAAATCATCTAGGGAGAAGATTGGAGGGGAGGGATATGGAGGAAGGATCTGGGACCAAATTTGGAAGGTCTCCAGCTTAAAGACGTCAAATAAATGTTAAATAAACAAGGAGATGAGATGCTAGTAAGAGAGACTGTGAAGAGGTGGTCAGAAGCCAAGGAAGGGTTTTTCAATGTTCCTGAGAAGTCTGATAAACAGCTAGGATAAAAATTGAGAAGGGACCTGGAATTACCGGCATAGATATGCCTACTGGCAATAGTAGTTCTGAAGAAACAGTAACATCTGAAGTCAGTCTAGAGAGGCCTGACGATTGAATAGAAGAGTTTGGGTGCGCACATTTTTTTTTGCTGGGAGGAATTTCATAAAACAGTATAGCCACTTTGGAAAGCAATTTGAGAGTTCATCCAAAAGTTACCATTGGAAAAAAGCACTGTTGACAAATATTGTGTGCATGAGTCCACAACCATAAGGATAAACTCCACCTAGATGAAGGCAGGCCCCTGCTCTCTGGTCACGTGATAAACCAGTCTCCCAAGCAACGAGTTAGAAGCCAACCTAGTGCCCATGAAGCATGTATCACCCACTTTACATGTACATCTTTTTTTTTTTAATCATTTTATTAGGGGCCCATACAACTCTGATCACAATCCATACTTACATCAATTGTGTAAAGCACATTTGTACATTCATTGCCCTCATCATTCTCATAAAACTTGCTCTCCACTTAAGCCCCCGGCATCAGCTCCATGAGGGAAAAATATTTACTCTTTTAATGTCCTCCTTGCTCTCTTATGGCAGGTATTAGTGTGGTAACCTTGGTTCTCTTGGTCGATGAGTGTTACTGAAAGTTTTGCCCTCTCACCAACCCCCACTGTTCATGTAAACAGTGTCCAGCCACTTAAGCATTTAATCTGAACCAGTAAACAATTAACCAATTTCAGCCTGAAGCTGGCCTATATGTGTATAATTTCCTTTTCTCAACAGTGTTTTACATTCTTAACATTGATTAAATTAATGACACTATCAATAGAATTACCTTAAGCCCCAGGAGTCTGCAGTAGACTACTTTTGTAGTTAAGTTTTTGGGTAGTCAAAAGTCATGGGAATATTTTACTGAACAGGGTGTTAGTGCCTCTAACCCCTACATTGCTCAAGAGCCAATTGTACTTTCCTAGAAGCTTTAAGAGTAATTTGGATAAATCAGAAGCTGATTAGTTATCAAATAATTCATCTGAATAATAGGAATAATAACCCCATATGCTAGCCAATTTTACATCAAATTTTTAAATAATCTAGTGGAAATATTGGTATACATTTATTCCCAATTTACTAACCCTTTCCTTGATCTTTTTTGCCCATTTGGATAAAAGAACAGAACAGAACTCTTATAAGGAGCAATCAGACCCTTGGCATAGGGAATCACTTACTGGTTTATAACTTTATTTAAACTGTAAGTTCTAAATTATATTTGGAAAGTATTTGATTGTTTAATAATGAAATGTTAAACAGAGGCCTTTAAAATCTCCAATCATAAACAGCACATTGATTTAAACCAATGGTTCTCCAATGGTCCCCAGACTAGCAAGAGCAGTTTGACCTGGGAACCCCTTAGAATTGCAGTGTCGCGGTCTGATCCAAACTGACTGAATCAAGAAGGCCTAGAAGCTTACAATCTGTGTTTTAACTAGCCTTCCAAATGATGACAATGACTTTCAATCAACGCAAACAACCACATAAACGTACCCTCCTGAGAGAACAGGTAACACCACTCGAACAAACGGAGGATCAAATGGGAAGTTATCCTAGAAGGTAAATAAGCAAGCATTAATTTTAAGAACATTCTTAATACTGTCTTATTTAGAAGACACTACCCTAGAAGTGCAACTGTGATCCAGAAATCCCACTCTTAGATATCTAGGTATATATGACCCCAAAAGACTGGAGAACAGACTCAAACAGAAGCTTCTTCAACAATGTTCACTGCAACACTCGTCCCATTACAAGTCTCGGCCCCTTCGCCTACGAAACCTTTTGTAAACTGAGACGGTCTAAAGTGAAGAAGCAACTGCCATTCAAGTATATGGGGATGGTTTTTTTGTTTGTTTTTTGGGAGGATGTTTTTAACTAACATGGAACACACTATTTATTGCAGTCCAGATACACTGCTGCTAAAGCTGAAGACAGAAAATAAAAACTAAGAAGGCAAAATTCATGATTTTTGATCTAGAAAAAAAATTCCACGTCTTCTGAAACCTGCTTGAATTTCTGGCAGTTCCCTAGCTATGATCTTCAATAAAATTTTGCTGTGTGTGACACTGGTGATATTGTTCTATAACTTCCCCACTTGGTTCTTTCCCCTATCTTTGGAAGGGGCACAGATATGGAACTCTCCCAGTCTGTTGGGCAAGTCGTTGGTCTTCCCTAAGGGAAAATGTTTGAATATTCCCAGACCGCCCTAAATAACCTAGCGCATAAAACCCAAACTAACCCTCACATCCGTTCACACCGAGTTCAGAAGTGTGGTGCCTGCCTTGATACTGTGAAGAGCTCCTGGTACGGCTTGGGGTGAGGCCGCTTTGCTGATCAAGGAGGAAGCGCACTGCCTTGAATACGCGCCCACTGCTAGCTTCGCTGAACTGTTACAGCTGAAATCCTCTTTGCATCTCCTTTGTTTTGCAAAAATAGGTGGCTTTCATAAAAGCCGAGTGGACTATGGGGGACTTTCAAAAAGAGTGGGTATAGCCTATAGCTAAAAGAGCTGGAAACAACTTAAATGCCCATCAATAGAATAAACAAAATGTAGTACGTAGATACAGTAGAATACTGATTGAGTCTTGATATCATGCTACAATTCAGTCAGAACTTGAAACCATTATGCTAAGTGAAATAAGTCAGTCACCAAAGTACAAATACTGTATGGCTGCCTAATCTAAGTAAAAAGACAAATGTATAGAGACCAAAGCTTATTAGCAGTTACCAGGAGAGGGAAAAGAGGGAAAGGGGGGAGGGGAAGGGGACCCCTGCTTCTGGAGAATTGAGTTTCAATCTACGCTGATGGAAAAAAAATCGAGTTTATTAATAGTAGTGGTACAACTGATTACTGTAACTGCTGTCAATAAGTTGTGCACCCGTAAAAAGCTGAATTGGCAAAAGCTGTGTGATAGATATATTTACCTGAAAACAACATCAAAGAAAGAAGCTGCTAGGGTTGTTTATGTATAATCCAAAACCTCATAGGATTCAGTTTCTGGAGGGTTAGGGTCATGGGATATCCGTTAATATCTAATGTTTCTGTTCTATGTTCTAATCCGTTCGATAGTGCCAGAATAGTAAAAACTTGCAAGCAGCCATCTAAGGCACAATCATTGGTCACTATTCACCTGGAGCAAACGTGGAAGAAGAGGAGCCAGCAAAGAGAAATGGGAAGTGCAGCTACATGGCTCAATGGAAAAGTGCCTCCTTTACCATGAAACTGGAACTGGATGTGCCCGCTATCATCCCTGAACATTTTGATAAAAGATTCTCAAATTCTCATGAACTCCAGCCTTTTCGGAGCCACTGAAGCTGGATGAATCACTGCAACTATAGCCCTGAGATCTTCTTTAAACTAAAGTTCTCTTAAAAGTTCCCCTAAGAGGGTAGAGGGAGAGGGGGTAGGAAAGAGGGAACCGATTACA